CCCCGAGGTTCATCACTCCCGGTACGTGCGTCGCTCTCAGAGAGAGGAGACGTCTACCGCTCCATAGGATCAGTTTGCGCGCCAGTGTGTGTAACTGGAGAGAACGCAAACCCCCTTGGCGGTTAATATACAATATTGTGGTCGTATTGTCTGTCCTCACGAGGACGTGATGTCCCCTGAGGAAAGGCAGAAAGCGTTTTAGGGTGAGAAACACCGCTAAAAGCTCCAGGTAATTTATGTGCGCCCGCTGGAGGTCTCTGCTCCAGAGACCCCTCACCGGGCGACCTTCATAAATACCTCCCCAACCTGTCAGACATGCGTCCGTGGTGACCACTTTCCGTGAAAGGACAGCACCCATAGGCACACCTCGTACTAGAATTGTCAGGTGCAGCCAGTGGCGCAGTGCCATTACGCATTTCACAGTAACCATCACTCAGTTTTAGGGCGGCCAATCAGCGCTGAAACTCCCTCATGTGTAAGCGTCCCAGTCGTACGACCAGGATGGCTGACGCCATGAGCCCCAGCAATCGCAGGCATGATCTGAAGAGAACATGTTTGCGCAGCTGGAAAAGAGCGAGACAAGCTCTGAAAGCTTTCACTCTTTCCGCTGACAAGCGAGCTGAAAAGGGCACCGAGTTCAGGCGTAAACCCAGGAAGAGTATAGTCTGCGCGGGGCACAACATGCTCTTCTCTGTGTTTATTATGAAACCCAGGTTGAGCAGGTGCTTTACGAGGACATTTGTCTGCGTAACAGCCTCCTGCTCCGACTGTGCGAGAAGCAGCCAGTCGTCCAGGTAGGTCGCCAGGCGAATACCCTGTTGTCTTAACGGGGCTATCGCGGCTTCCGTACATCGTACAAACACCCTTGGACTGAGAGACAGACCGAAGGGGAGTACTCTGTATTCATAACAGATCCCCTGAAATGCGAATCTCAGATATTTCCTGTGTGGGTAATATACTGGGATGTGAAAATACGCATCTTTCAGGTCGACTGATGTAAACCAGTCGTCTTGTCGCACGAGCCGCAGCAGAGATGTGTGAGTGAGCATTCTGAACTTATATCTTTTTAGATATTTGTTCAGAGCCCTCAAATCAAGTATTGGCCGAATTCCGTTCCCTCCCCGTTTGGGAACGAGGAAGTACTTGGAATAGAAGCCGCCCTGACTCTGCTCGGCGGGTACAATAGATATAGCCCTCTTTTCTAGGAGTGAGAGAATCTCTCTCTCCAGAATATGGGCTGACTCTCCTCGGGCCTGCGAATGCAGAATGCCCGAGAAGCGAGGGGGGGGTGACAGCGAATTGGAGTCTGTAGCCCTGTGTTACTGTCTTGAAAACCCAAGCAGATGATGTGAGCATCTTCCACTGCATGCTCCAGTGGAGCATGTGGAGCAGTGGAGATGTCACGCCTCTTCCCCTCTGAGTCTCTATTTGTTGTGTTATGGGGCCCTCTAGTGTCTGAACACAGTGGTGCCCCTTTTCGACAATCCCCACCGACACTGCGCATGCGCATGACGGTGGTGCCTTCACAACCCCAGCCGGCACTGCGCATGCGCGTGACGGTGGTGCCTTTAAAGCCCCAGCCGGCACTGCGCATGTGCGTGGCGGTGGTGCCTTCACAGACCCGCCTGTAATCCGCCTTTTGAGAGATGCCGTAGCTGCTCTCAGAAGGAGAACAGTTGACGGGCTGTTTATTGGTTTTATTGTTTTTCTTTTCATTTTATTGAGCTGCGCCCTCGGCCTGATGCCTGGATGCGTCAGCGGCAAATGTTTTATGACAGAAAAATCAACAAATGTGTGACATGTGTTTGTGCGGACTTGAGGATGGTTTTGAGGCATCTCTCGAGGCGGCGGGAACACATTTAGAGCTGGGGAACCGTGGACTTCCAGCTCTGTCACAGAGGGGAGAAGGAGGGGCTGTCACGCCGCTCGCTTCTTCTTCCTCGACTGCTGGCCGAAATTCTGGGTTGGCTGCGCCTGAGCTGCAGCCGGAACCGGAGATTTTCTAGGCCAGCTAGCCCTCGTCTCCAGCCTGGGCTGGGGACTCGGGGCGGGCTGCGACTTCTGCGTCTTCGGTGCTTTAAATCGAGCAGGGTTCGAGGCAGCTTGGGCGAAGGACTGCTGCTGCGAAGGCAGCGGCTGGACCCTTCGAGGGAGGCAGAGGTGGAGTGCCTCGTCCTCCTTCTTTTTCGACTCAAACCTCCTTTGCATGGAGGCGAGAGCGGAGCCGAAAATTCCCTCGGGAACGATGGGCATATCCAGCACATCCTCCTTTTCCCGGTCTGGGAGGTTGTGAGGTTGAGCCATCTCGCTCTTTCCTGCACCACCAAGATCCCCATTGCCTTGCCCGTGGCCTGGACGGCGCAGCGTTGGACACAGAGACAAATGTCCGTGACCACTGCCATCTCGTCCAGAGTGGCTGCCCCCGGGTTACCCGACAGGTCCTCGCAGAGCTCCGCTTGGTAAGCGGTTAGCAGCGAGGACACATTCAGGGCCCTGGCGGACAAGGCTGTGGCTTTGTAGGACCGTTCAGTCATTGTCGACTGAAATCGGTCCGACTTTGCTGGCAGCGTGGGGTTCCTACTTGGTGACGGGCCCATCCTCGGTAGGAGGTGGGCCGCTACCAGCGGTTCCGTGGGCGGTATGCGGAGCAGGCCGAGCTTCTCCATTCCGTCACAGTCTAGGGAGGAGGTACCCTGGATTGGGACCTTGTTGCTGAAGGGCCGGTCTCTCCACGAGACCGACACCTCATCCAACATCTCCGGGAAGACCGGAAGGAGTTGCCTCTTCGTCCGCGCTGCTTGGGGAAAATGTTTCCCTTCGTAGCGGGACCTGGAGGTCTCCTTGGCCATTTCAGGCCACGGGATGTCGAGTCTGGCCGCGGCGCGTTTACACACGGCCTGCAGGTCCATGCTCAGACAGGGCGAAGCTGGTGTGCTATCGCCCGGGAGAGCAGCCCTCACTCCAGGCTTTGCAGCCTGAGCCGATGACATGAAGATGTCCTCTTCATGTTCATCCGACTCGGACAGGAGGAACACCGAGGCGTCCTCTTCGTCCTCATCGTAGTCCAGCTCGAGGACATCCTCCGTGGGTGAGACCATGGTGAGGTCTAACCGGGAGCCCCAGCTCGGTAAAGCGTGGGGTCCCGTTCCCGCGTGTCTTGCCGTCACCGGGTCCCGGCCTGCCAGGGCGCGGGATTCCGGTTCTGCAGCCATCGCAGATAATGAGCCCCAGACCGACACGGAGAGGGATTCACTCTCTGCGGCGGACGCCCCCGCGTCTTGACTGCCGGCCGGCAGGTCAGTGGACATGGGGGGGTCCTGCTCCTACAGGCTAGCTTGGCGTGCTAGCCGTCGGCGGAGGCTCTTCACGGTGAAGCGGACACAATGTCCGCACGAGCCGGGGTTGTCGATAGCGCCTCGGGCGTGTTCCAGCCCGAGGCAGGACGAGCAGACCTGGTGTGTGTCTGTGCCCGAGATCTTCAACCCGCAGCCGCAGAGTCGAGCCACCGAGTCCCTGACTCCTCTGGTGTGAGGGAGAGAGGCGTCCATCTTGTTCGCCTCGTGGCGTGGAGAGGACCCGCTCTCAACAGGTAAGTTGGGAGAAAAAAGGTGTTACCACCCTGTCCTTAATCCGGAGAAAAAGACGGTGTCGGTCTTTTATTCCCGGAGAATACTGACTGGTGTGACAGTATGCTCCTTTAATCCTTTCCTCCTCCGTGGGGAAGAGAAAATAAAAAACTTCCTCGCTACCGTGGTGTCGATAGTGAGGGAGTGAGCTAGCAACAGGTGTGTTGCTAGCTTGAAAAAATCAGACCTACCGTACTTTCCGGGGGAAAGAGAACGGCGAGGCCGATTTAATACTAACTGGCGTTAGTATTACCGTCTTCCTGCAAAGCAGAAGGAGTAGCCGGCGAGCGCCCGTCGACCGAAATGGTTATATTTGGGTTCAGTCTGTGGACCGTTAAGCTTGTCCGGCTACTATAGAGATGTGCTCTGAAGCGAGAAGAGGTGTTTGAATTACGCATGCGTCGTGGCGCAAGCTACTTATAGGGGGTGAATTCCCTGACGCTGACGTCAAGATCACCAGCCAATCAGGATTGGCGTAATGAGATTGATGCTTCTGTTTGCTCCGCGATGAGGCGCATCCCATAGTGAGACATCGAACGGAGTGTTATGAATGAGAACATCTGCGCTCACATTGCTTACATTGACATGGCAAAAGGGAATCTAATTGTTTCCCAGAATGCTTCATATGAAATGCTAATGGGCTAATGAATATCTCAGCCTGGCAAAACATCTTTCAGATATTAGCATCCAGGCAGTCTGTTCAATACAATCGATTCATCCAGATGGGAGAACAGCTGCTTTGAATGTTCTTTGGGATCCTTAAAAAGAGACATTTGCAAAGCAGTTGTTCTCCAATAACAACTGCTTTGCAAATGTCTCTTTTTAAGGATCCCAAAGAACATTCAAAGCAGCTGAAGAGGTAACTTTTTGTTTGAAAAAAAATAGCCTAAAATATTTTTTTTAAGAGGAAACAGTGGCTTGTTTTGAGTTCCAGGAATAATAAAGGCTAATGTCATTGTGGCCATTCGATTTCACGCTCTAAGTACAGAACTACTTTGGCTCTGGATGCTGCATTTTTTAGGCATCAGCAGAGATTGCCTTGAGGACTCATAATCAATAGTAAAATTCAGAGCAGGAGGCCACGACAACACGAGCTATGACTGAGACGTGAGTCAGGCTTTAACCGGCTCCACCTGCTTTTGTTTGTGCTGTTTATACTATGTTTACCTGGAATATGAACGCAATGTCAGAGTGACTCACTCCTGAGGAATAAAGTGACGAGCCTCTGCTGCAAACACTAAGCTTACACATTTTGGAGATGAAGGAAAAGAAATATCCACAAAACAGATATTGTTTTTGGTTAGGATTCAAGCATATAACGAAAAATGAATCGTCATATGCTTAAATCCTACTGAATTAGGTGAAATATGATACCTGTGCGAATATCGTGGCTGATGCCCTCCACAGAGATGGTGGCATTTGCTATTCCGCGACCTTGCAGATCCCTCACCACGCCTTTGATCCCACGATGCACCTGCACATGAAAAGCACGACTCATGCAACCATGTGTAAATTCTGCCCCCAAGTTTACCCCATCACAGTCTACTTCATATTTTTAAATGATGTATGTAACATGCAGTGGTGATGTGTATGGTGTATAATGGATGATGTTCAATTTGCAGAACAGATGGCATGTTTAAAAAAACATTTATTCCAGATCTTGTTTCAATATTTAAATTAAAGTCCCAACATGGGCCCGATCCTCTGAGAGAATAAAACATAACAGGCCTGCATGTCTTCTCAAAGTGGCTGAAAGTACGAAATTAGCTTGTAGAGTATTTATACAGAACTTTTTTCGAAAAATTGTACTGAGAAGAATAAAAGGAACAAACTGAAAGCGCTATCATACTCCTAGAATAACTCAAAATTATGAAAAAGCGTATGTTTTTGTTGCTTTTCTTGTGTTTGTGTGAGTTGTGGGGGCTGCTTTGCCTCTGTACCTGCTCCATGAAGACAAGAAGAGACTCTCGATTGTTCTCCCACTCCTCAGGCAGCTCGCTCTCATGAGGGAATTTGTCACAACCCACATACATCGACAACTCAAAGCAGTTTGTGTGCAAATAGCTGAAGTCATTCATACCTGCCAAGAAAGAGAAACATCTGTAGGCCATGCAGACAGAACTAAGGCCAACATGTGTGTGGTTATTGGATAAAAGTTGTTTTAATTAAGAGTGAAATGGATTTTAAATGTTTCCTTTGTTTGTATGCCTTTGAATTATTACATGATGCTTCCAGTTAAAAACAGCTCTGTTCTGAATATGCAGATGTGTGCTAAACAAAGCTACAGCTCAAAGGATCAGAGCTGAGCACAGAAAACCTGAATAACACAAAGTAAGGATCAGAGAAAAAGACCCCGACAACTAGGGACACTAACTGCCAGCCGCGGTGTGCCACAACGCTCCGTTGATGGTGCCGTCCTCCTTGGCAAAATCCTCTGTGTGGCAAACCCTTTGGTTGGCTGCCGTCATGAGGCGGTGGGTGGAGGCGTAGGAGAAGGCCAGCCAGCGGAAGCTGTGGTCATCTGGGGTGGGGGTCTGCTCCCTGCCCACCCCCAGGGAGCGAGTTTTGTCGTAAGGGAAGGTCACCACCAGCTCCCCTCCCTGGATGTTTCCTCCAAGCACAAAGGGCAACTTCTCCATCCATGCGATCAGAGCCCTTGTCTCCACGGCAACCTACATTAGGGACACAAGAGAGGGGAGGATAATGTAATTCCAGCAATCATGTCAGTATTGTGATTGCTAAATTAACTCCCTCACACTGAAATAAATTGCTGTTCACACGCTGGAGACTAATTTCACTAAGATTTATTCTGAAAAGTCAACCATATTTTTTTAAGAGGCAGCAAACCAGCCTGCATCCAATGGCTTGTATTGATCTAAGGGAATGCCACTGCTCTTTGGACTCATAATTAAAGCGGCCCTTCCATCTCAAAGCGCTGGTGAAGCGAGCGCGGTGAGTTTTCACAGCTTCCTGAGCACAGATGGGGATCCCAGCTCTGCAGCTGCAGCAGCTATTCTGGAGGCTTTGTGTGACTCACTCGCGGCTCTCGCTAACGTCAAAACACAAGTGAGGATGAGCTTTTAATAGATCGTCGGGTCTATTTCAGCTCACCGCCTCTTCGTCACAAATGCATCCGCTCCTCCCTAAATAGACAGCGGTGGTATTCTCGTGAGGATGCTTTATAACCTTTTTTAGAAGGATAAGGACATAAGTAAGTAAAAAGCACTAGAAACTAAATGGCAATTACATTATTAAAGATTAAGCACTTTTAAGAGTTATATTTTTATAACACATATGACACAAAACAAGGTCATGCTAGACATCTCTCAGATGATGAAGCCTGCAGATTTGGGCAAAGATGTGGCATTTCCATAAGCCATACTCTTATATTTGTATGACTTTCCCATAATGTTGCTGAAATATACACATTGAATACGTTTAAAATGGAATATAACTATCAGACTCACTGATGCGTTTTTGAACAGGTACCACTCTGGGATGGGCACACGGTGGTTGAACATTTTGCGAGGGATCCACTTCTTAACCTCGGCTTCCCACAGTATGGAGTTGAGATCTGGGAAGTTATGGTGAATGTCTATTCCATTACTGTTCCATCGACCCAGAGACCACCCGCTGAGCTCTGAACCCTGGGCAAAAGAAAAATGTGAGGAAAATGTAAATTTAAGAAGAACTGAACCAAGCCAAACATCTGGTTATTATAATGTTGTCACTCCTGTTTGTACAACTTAAAAACAAGAGGAAATAATGGTTTGCCAGAGTAAGCGTTCAAAGAACTTAACAAGTTAACCCTTCTTTTTTTGCTTTTTTTATTGTACTGTAATTCTCATTTCGGTCACAATAGGCTAAAGTGCACCACAACCTCATGTCCTAAGTAGGACTTAACGCAAAAATGTTTTCTTTCTGGTGAGGTTTTATAAGTTGATGTACAACAAATGTCTTTACTTTTGAAGGACAATGTGTTACGGTTCGTAGAGTGCATCTACAAATCACTGAATGACATGAAGCCATTGACTATAAAGCAACCAAACAGTGTCTGGCTTGCTTTTGATCTTTACCTGTTCATAAATATTGGCCCTTTTATCTAGTAGTCCTGCAGATCATTTAAAACCAGACTAACAACATGTATTTTATTGTTATATTAATGCATCACAGGCACTCAACATATTTGTCATCAGGGCAGTTCATATCTTCCACCAGATCATTTAAACCAGTTTTCCAGCACGCACCACATGTGCTCTAATCGGGAGAAGACTTGCCAACAGATATGGGGCTGTTCCCTAATATGAGGTCACTAATGGCCGCCCTGCAGACCTACCACTTCAAAGGCTTTCTCGTACCCATCGGGGTTGACGGATGGCAGCAGATGGATTCTGGTCTCCTCCACCAGATGACGTATGCGCTGGTTGCCGGACAGATACTCCAGACACATGAACTGCATCAGAAGGAGGAGCAGCTCACGTCCTAGCACCTCGTTGCCATGGGAACCTGCAGTGTAACGAAACTCTGGTTCACCTGGTCAACAGGTTAAAACGAGAGGAGCAATTTGGGGGAGGGGATTGAGAAAGAAGGAGATTAAATATGTCATCACTGCAATGGCACGTACACGACATTGAGGAAAACACTCCGAGGAACGCATTTAGATGTTTCTGATGTTGTTAGTATTTTATATTAAATCAAGTCCTGCCTAATTAAAGCACACTATACTCACCAACTTCATGCTCTCCTGGGTTGTCAGAAATCTCTATGGCGTACAGCTTGAGGCCACTGTGGCTCTTTCCTATGTTATAGATCCGGGTGATATTAGGGCACATTTCATTGACTACCTTCATAAGCTGTGGGAGGAAAATAATGAAGCATCAGCAATCAAGTGTTTGCATTAACTAATGGACATCAAGCAAGGAATATTTCATTCGTTTTCATGGGCTTGAAGAACATTTTGCTGCTAATCCTTTCAAACAGGCACCTTACTTATGGACAATCATGAGTAAATTAATATTACCCAAACAATTCTGACACAAAAGCCTTTTTGTTGTTTGCTAGCATCCGTAAGAGACAAGGAGGCAGGTTCAAGCAAGTCAATTAAGTGAGAATGGGCGGGCTTAATTGCACCTGGTCGGCCTTTCTGTTCCTGTCAATCAAACTGAGTAATAATATTTCAGATTTATTTTTTTCGGGCTGCTGCTTATTTAGTGATGAATATTACGCTTTAAAGTGCAAAAATGTAAACTTAAAACCTTATTTTCAAGTATTTTTATTTTGTAGTAGTTCTATTTAAAATGCTCGGGAAACACAACATTGTAAAAATTAATCTCATGTTAATCTTATGAAATTTCCAAACCAATATCACTGTGCTCTGTCACAGATCTTCTTTAATAACACTAACCGATGAAGAGGGGGTGGCCTGTGTGGAAAAGCAGTCAAGGTAATTACGAAGACAGGCTTGTGGAGGAGCTGATTAAAATAGCACCCACTATCATTTACCCATGTGGGCATGAGAGACACAAAGAGGAAGTGCAGCTGGAAGGAGACTAACAAGCTGTGCTGAAATCTGTGTTTAGTCGTGCTTCCAGCTGCGGCAGAAGTCATTACACAGTCAAGAGTGATGGGGTTTTAATTAAATCGGGGCTGAATCTTGACTTTTCTAACCAAATAAATCATTAAACAAACATCTGGTTTTGTTAACAGAGGATTACAAGTTGGCAATTACATTCTTGCTGCCAATTTAATAAAGCAGAGGACTCCCCTGGTAAATATACCTGGATTGTGTTTACCAGGATCAATGTATAACATCCTGCTTCTTGATATAATCACTACCTTCAGTATTTTCACATAGTAGAATTATTTTTTTTCTAACAGAAACATACTAACTGAACAATATAGAATGTGTTCTAATTAGCTTGCAGTGACTTTTTACATAAACCAAGCGTCTTTGGGTTCAAGAAAAGTGCTATAGAAATAAAATATATTATTATTATTATATTATTAAAGAAAAGTTTATTGTACCAGGGTAATCGCAAACTATATATATCATCTTCGTATTCAAAGAATGTGGAAAAGTACATTTTTCCCACCTATTTTATAATGTCTTTAAACTGTCCACGCTCTGATAGTATCAGTCATCCAGTGGCTACAACATTACCAGCAGAGGTGTTCTAAGAAAAAGGCAGTCCTTGAGCAATATAAAAGATGTCTTTTCACTCCTCTCATGGGGCATGCACTTTATTTGAGGAGCCACACTGGGCTATTTCAACCTTGAGGTTCGAGCAGAGCTATTTAAACTGCTGTGGGGCAGGGGAATATAGGGTACAGGTACCTGCATGAAGAAAATAAATGTCAAGAGTGAAAAGGCTTTAGTTTAAAAATAGTCATTTTTTTCTTTTTGAAGGTCTATTGAGGCCGGCACCCTGTCTGACGTGTATATTAACCTCAAAGGGACAGAGAGATAAACAAACGGTACATTAAATCCATTCTGTCACACATGGGAACAAAAGCTTAACAATGAGTCAGACCTTCTGAGCATTATTTGGAGTCTTATTGTGAATAATAACAGCAGTTTAGGACACATGTAGTCCACAGGGGAGCTGCTACATTATATATGATTGTAATTCACAGCACTTGTACCTTCACATCCACTCAGTCACGCTGTAGCAAGTGACAAATATAGCTGTCCTCCTTCTCGGTACACACAGGCTACTGTTCATGACAACTATATGAATAAGTAATGACACAACCCAGGACGTGCTTAATGCATTTTCATGTGGCTGGCAGCGCTCACTTCGCTTTGTTCTTGCAAAGGACACAAGTTGTCTGGTGTTGGCTCGCACTCACACAAGATGTTTTATTGCTTCATGCTCTGGTGTGTCTTTGAATAAGCAGGCGGTTGATATCTTTTGTTTTCTGTGACTCACCTGCCTCATTTCTTTGTAGCTGTGGTGTCTGAAGTCCAAGTCGTCCGTTGTTATGACTTCATTGCGTCTGTGGTAATAATTATTTGGATCTGTGGGGAAGAAGAAAACATATAAAAGCGGGCGGATAAGTTATTTTTATGTACAGAGGAAAGGAAGGATCAGTCATGTAAGGTACGTAGAGACTATAAACGCTGAGCACCTGCTCTCTATCCTCTACTTATGTTCATTTTATATTTGGTATTCGAAGACTCCGATATGTGTGCTGGAAACTAGATAAAAAGCATGGGTGTGTAACAAAGGGCAAACATGAGAAAAGGGCTTCTGTTGAAAAATAGCTTAAAACTTTGAAGCCAGATCTCTATAAAGCCTTTTAGATTAGAATGCATGTTTTTTTTTATGCTCTCCGGACCATGGAATCCAAATATGTGGTTTTAAGTTGTTTCCATGGGGACATCTTTGTCCTTAAAGGTCTGTGTGTCTGTATTTTGGCTACACATTGATGAGAGATTTATTAAAGGAGCTGAGGTTGAACTGCCAAACACTCACATCCTTGCTTTCCCTAGTGAGGCTCGGATTAAAAAAAATTGAGTTTTTAAATTGGTAACATGACGCATACAGACTTTAAGACACTTTAAAATTGGACCTTTTTCCATTTCCTATCAACAGGCAACATCCTGCCATAACCCATGACTGCTGTGTTTGGCTAACTGTAACCAGGTGCCCCATTGTGCACTTGATGATCAAGGTCCTCTACCTTAGATATTTAAAAGTATATATTTTAACCAAACAATCTTTCTCTAACCCAATCCAAGCGCAGTATATGCTTTTTCCAAACAAAACCACAACCAAAGCAGTGTTGGTCAGATTTTCTTTTTTTTCAAACAGTGATGCCGTCCATCTATGTTGACATTATGTATGTCTTTCTCCGAGCATGATTGCTTCCCTTCATGACCAGTCCCATATCATATATTCTTCTGATGTTTTAACCCTTGTATGTCAGGAATAATTCGTCAATACAAACCCGTCACCTGGCATAGGACAGCCAAGGATCTCCACTCTCATACAGATGTGTCCGTTGCGAAACCAGGAGCGAGGGTTAACTCGGATGTATCTGGCGAGCACTGGGACTAGGAAGATGTTCCGGACTGGGATTTCCTTTTCCCTGTTGCCAGTGAAGATCTACTGAGGCAAACACATTCATCAAGATAGTAATTAAAGAAGTGTTTTTGCGTGAAGTGAACATTACTTTATTTTAGCTATTTTATTATTTGAACTTTACCAAGAAGGTATTGTTTTTGGTTTGTTCGTTTATCTTTTTGCCAGCAGGAATACAGAAAAACTTGGTGGAAAGGTGTTTCATGTGCCAAGGAAGAATCCATTACATTTAGGAAAGTATCCAATTAAAGGGGCGAACACTTTTTTACACTTATGGACACAGCCTTGGTGTAGCTCTGCATTATATAAGTGTCTTTGTAGTTTATTAGTGTATTGCCTTTTAATCAACACCTGTCAATTACGCAAATGTTGCTTAAAGTGTAATCCATTGATATGAGATTAAAAGTGCAGCCTAACAGATTAATAACATTAGTCACAATGTGTAAACGACAGGACTACATACAGCAGATGTAACATATAAATATAACTAATTCAGTTAGAACATGCACACTATAATGCTGTGTGGGTCCACATAACCCTTAATCAAACACAGACAGATGCACCTGTAGGATGTGATACAACTGGGAGCTTATTATACATTTAAAACATTATGGTTCTTCTCTGCACCTTTTGGTATTTTGCAAGACAAACAGTGCGGTTTGGCATTTGGATTTAAAGGTGAGAGTGAGTGGGAGCTTGTTACTTGTAGAGTAAATTACTGTGGGGCATAACCTCCCACATCTGTGACATCAGCTGCCGCACCAGTGTACAGTTACAGCAACATTTCATTAGCTGGGATGTAAAAAGCAGTAGAGAGAGGCAAGGATATGATTTTCTTCAAAAACATCATCTGATATGCATGTTTATGGATCATATGGTTATTATTTTACTGGTCAAATGCCTCAGCTGCTGCTTTAGATTTGGTTTCTATTCAATTACATCAAGTGCATAGATGTATCTCTGATGATGAGCCAGGATGAAGTTCCCATCTGCTTGAGGATCATCAGTATTTACTACTGCCTTCCAGCTCATTAAGCCCAGAGACAAGCAGAGATCTAAATGTTTCTCTGAAATTGCTCTTGGGCAAGAATAACTTTTTTTATGATGTTCCAGCCAACATGGGAAATACTAAACACGACTCCCTATGAAGGGGTAATAATGAGTTCAAAAGCCTGATATTAAATGCCTATTTCTTAGATATATGGATACTAGTTTCTAATTGCCATGATTGTTACTCACCATGTCCTCTGAGCCGTTCTTCAGTGTTATCCAGGTGTGACTGTCATTGCTCACCATGACCTTGTATGAGGTCACCCAATCGCTCCTGTTAGCGTGTGGAAGAAAAAATACAAATCCTCTCAGTGTGAATTTAATGCAAATGAGGTGACTGTGAGAAAGTCTCTCAGTACTCGGCCAGACACGTTGAATGCTCACAGTCTGTTTCGAAACAGGACAATGGGAGAGGAGGTCAGATCATTCGTATTAGTAGTGTCACTTGAGCCTGTCGCTGCTTTAAGTTTTGGAAGAGGAGCAAAAGTTACGTTTGCCACGCATCTGATTTTCATTTGACCTAGGGTGAGTTTGGGTTCTGAATACAAGGAAACTTTGCCACCATAATCAGACTGAGTTTTGATTCACTTCATTCATTCAAATATTCATTTAAACCGCCAAAGAAATGTAAATGCTGGTGGGAATGTAGGTGTCGACAACCAGGCTAACAATACACAGAATCCTATATGTGGGTGATGTTATTGTGAATGCTAACTAGCATAGCATGTGTTCTGACATTTAAACAGTGCAGTAAATGTTATAGAAAACCATGTTGGTGTGTTTTACATACTTCTCAGGCATGTACAATACAAAACCTATTGGCATACTCAAATTTGAACTTCATTTATGCAATTCAAACAGTGAAAATAACATTTTCATTGCATTTTGCAAATGTTACATGATTGTATAAGGGAAAACAGTGCCAATTGGGAAAACCTGGCTTAAATAAGCAACATTTTCGGGTAAGATATTGAATAAAGCACATTTCACGAGTGTTTTCATGGTTATGTGAGGGTTCTCAGAACCTAAACCTAAAAAAACACCATTGTGAATGTTGCAGTCATTTACAGATAATGCATTAAATCGGCATCCTAACAAACCAAATATAACAAACCTTTCGTTAAAAAAAAGTCTTACATTTCAAAATGTCCTGGTTATGAACCTGGCAACGATAAAATAGCTACGCCATAATATACAAAGACTTAGCTGGTGGATTCAAAAGATCCATCAAGTTTCAAACTCCTACTGAAATATATCCATAATAAGAGATAAATGTATAGCTGTCTGGAACATAAAAATAACTTGAAATGTGTACAGGAGTTGTGAAGCTAAGACTTCAGCGGTTTCGTTGTTTGAAAGTATCTTAGGTAGAGCACAGAGAGGTGGAACATCAAAATAATACAATGTTTTGTATTGCAAACACACTTCACTGGTGATTTACTGTCCCATCAGAGCTCTGTGAGCAGGATGTGGGATGACAGGGACTCCCATGCTTCTGGATAAAGACATCAGTGCTGAGCTGGTCAGGCCTGGTAAGAATTCCCAGTTCTGCTAATTAAAGCTCTGTTATAGACAGAAACCCCTGAGTTGGCACTGTCGACAGTAACATGCCCTACAGAGCTAATTGCGGGAGAAATTCTGTCTCAGCCATCGGTGTCTTCTGCACCCTCAGATCGTGCTTGCCTTGAAGGAAAATTACAAACACTGATAAAGTAACTCCCCATGCTCTCTAACTACACAGCAGTTTCCAGAAATCTGTAACCCACCCTTTCCAATTAGGAAGTGCAAAGGCCAAAAGTTGTCAGATTCGCATTATTACCGAGCAAAGTCAGAGTAGAGGGTAGAGGAAAATGTGAACAGGAGCATTTATGTTTTTTCCTAGTGAAAAAATGACCCTGGTAAATTCAGATTAATTCCGGCATAAATTAAACAAATATTACCTCTGTGCTTGATTTACTAAAAGTAACGAGTAACATTTCAACGCGTGATTTTTAACTTTACCTTAAAAAACTGTACTAAAATAATAGACACTGCACTGGCACAATTATAAAAGCAATAGTGATGTCAGATACTAAACGCATGCTTAAAAAAGATCTCGCAGACTCCTCCACTAAGGCAGTGGGAGGTGAGACTTTACCCTTCCCTTTGTATTTAGATGATAGGTACATAAATTGCCATGGAAACCAGTAATATCATTTATAGCTTAACTAGCTTCACAGACAATAGCCGTGCACAGCAGACTTATCCAATCTTACAGTAAGTAAAGACCTACTGTAAATATAATTAAAGTGGAAATGTGTATAGTATAATCCCTTCTTGTTACATCGCTTTATTATTTCTGTCATCTGAGTGTGATGAACAAGCTTACTGTGCAGACAAATCTTTTCTGTGTTATTTTGATAGTGAAGTGACCTTTTAAGGGTCTGTACTCCAATCAATCATACTCATAAATCCTTAATCCCACAGTGAGGGGATCAGAAAAGACTTGTGAAAAGGGCAAACAGCAGTGACGGTTCAGAGCCATGTGGATTGGAAAGCTTGTTTTGTTTATATTAGTGGAGTCAAATGTTCCAGTCGGATTTACAGGAAAATCCAACTCATTTAAAGTTCTGGAGCAATGTTGCCGTCTGCTTACATTCAATTTTCATTTCCCATAGTTATTTAGAAAATCATGCCATATGCAATTAGATACTTGGCTGTTTTTGAATTGAATGTCAATGTTAGCAACATGGCTCTATGCACTGAAAAACCAAAATGTTGACTTTAATTAAATGTGTTATGTCAATACATTTCACATAACCGTATTAGGTTAGTTGAAAGCAATAATATGAACTTGATATTTTTGCTTTCAACTAACCTAATAACGTGTGTTCTTTCAGTTTAGCAATGTTGTTTGTTGTTTGTGTATTACTTTGCTTCCAAACCAACACACTCTCACTCCATAATCGTCCAGGAGCGACGTTTGGTCAGTGTCCGTGGCGTGCAGTTGTGACGCTCCTAGGCTCCTTCAGCTTCATAAAGGGACGCAAATAGCTTTCAACTGATTGCAATGTATTCCCATCTGCGGCGGGATTTGACGCTCATGGAAGCACGGCATTCGTTTGTGTCGGCTGCCCTTAAAGGCAATGTGAGCGTCCATTCTCATTGGATAACGGAGAATTGTACATCCGGAAGTAAGTATTCACCTTACTGTCGATTGATTTTACAGTGATATCTGCACTACTCATCGACTAAAAAAACACCAGATTATCCTTGTTAATCACACAACATTGATTGGTTTAAATTGTGTGCAATGCTTTTGTATTTTTCCCCTTCGATTCGGAGAAACAAATATTTTTTCGGAGTAAAGGATGGCAGAAGACACTACACTACCCAGAATCCCCAGCTATCGTTTAGGACTACACCATGTGCTCTGTTTGACAAACCCTGTGAGAGTCCTCAAGCTCTGTGATTGGAGAGTGTGCTCCGAGGGTTACGCCGAGCGCGTCGAACAGCACTTGAAATGGGATGGAACCACGGCAGACTGTCCAAAACTGGATTTGAACTGGTCCACCGCGTGCAAATATGGCAGTAGCCATCGATCAGCTTAAGATAATATATACTTTATTGATCCCAAGTTGGAACATTTGCGTTACATCAGCATGTGTAACTATTGTAAATATGCAGTGGTGTTTATTTATAAATCATTTAGTATAATCACACAAATTCTGTCTTTTATATTTAACAATTCTGTGTTCTTTATTTATTGATTGTTCAATACCGGACAAGGCCGGAGATGAAATATCTACATACATCTTATAAGAGTATTATGTATAATATCAGTTAAAATAAGTGCTTCAACATAGTTAACATTGCTGGAGGTATGCACAAATATTGATAGATGTCTTGTAATGCACTATTGAGGAACCTGCGACCCAAGTTTTTCATTCAATGCAGAACTACACCATTGTTGTGTATATGATATGTCAATAAACCTTAGAAAATCTTGAAATCTTGAAAGGGATGTGCAAAATAGTCATTATATACAGTCTTTAATTAACTATTAGTAGAGAATAACGAGTAATGAATATACTTTATAGGGATCCTATTAATATCTAATAATACAAATAATGAAATTCAATAACATGCTTTAACCACTAGGTGTCCCTTTATATCACCTGTGCACCTTTATGGTGTAAATACAGCCTATCTACCAATTGGATCAAATATAAAAGTCAGCCGAATTAGTGTTGATACTGCAAGGAGACATATTGTGTGAAAAGAAATGTAAGCTGTTGTTTAATTACTGATATATTTATGATCCACGTCACGTTTTCAGTTCCTCATGTTTGTCTAGAAGTCTTCTCATCAGGGCTCTATAAATACAGAACTACGGCAGATATGTAATATTTAATGCAGCAGAACCGTGTATTACAATGCCGTTATGTGATGACTTTCAAAGAGAAAAGCAAGCACACTCGGAATAAAGTATTATTTTATTTTTTTTAAATGTTTTCGGTCTGTTTCCGGTATTTGTTAATGACGATGTGCTGTGAGATGTGAGACTGGAATTCCATCGGATTTTGTTAAACTAATACGTTTGCGCTGTGGACCAACACTATACATTGACGGGGAAAGGGGTAGCAATAAAGATAACACCATTAAACAGTTACACAACATAACAGAAATAATATCGATAGCAGCGTCCCTAGCAACCACCTTGGTCACAATGAAAACGTTCTATGGACGCAATTTCCTGAAGTAATCTTCGTAATAACTAGCAAACTAAAGATCATGTACATCCACTGCATACATAATCTGAAATAACAACTCATATTTCTCGCATCAAATGACATCAAAACGCATTTTAATGGCCAAACTAACTTTAAAATAGGCATTTTCCACCGAGAATAAAACGAAGTTCGGCCATGTTTTTTTTTTCTGCAGGGAGAAATTTGAAGATCACGTGACATAGAATGGAATGAATGATGACAAAAAACGGGGTTTGTCAAACAGAGCACATGGTGTAGTCCTAAACCATAGCTGGGGACTCTGGGTAGTGTAGTGTCTTCTGCCATCCTTTACTCCGAAAAAATATTTGTTTCTCCGAATCGAAGGGGAAAAATACAAAAGCATTGCACACAATTTAAACCAATCAATGTTGTGTAATTAACAAGGATAATCTGGTGTTTTTTAGTCGATGAGTAGTGCAGATATCACTGTAAAATCAATCGACAGTAAGGGGAATACTTACTTCCGGGTGTACAATTCTCCGTTATCCAATAAGAATGGATGCTCACATTGCCTTTAAGGGCAGCCGACACAAACTAATGCCATGCTTCAATGAGCGTCAAATCCCGCCGCAGATGGGAATACATTGCAATCAGTTGAAAGCTATTTGCGTCCCGTTATGAAGCTGAAGGAGCGTCACACAACTGCACGCCACGGACACTGACCAAACGTCGCTCCTGGACGATTATGGAGTGAGTTGTCCAAACAGCAACCTGTTAAGCCCCAAACCCCCCCCCATCTTAATATTTAAGAACCTATTAATGTGTTATACCAGATTAACGGGAAGAATATCAGCTAACTGACGATATAAACCATTTTTACCAAAACAAAACACAAGTTTCATAAGAAGCATCTAAATGACCCCTGAGTGAAAATGCTAAAGACTTTGGCACAGAACTCAAGATAAAAGATACACTTATTACTTATCGTAGCTGCACATACAATATATCCGATTAAAGCTGAGGTTCCACAGATTATTTAGGTATATATATCATCACTGAGTGATCCGAACTCTTGACAGGGGAAGCAAACAGACATCACAACACGTACCTTTACGGAGCTTTTACGGGAGATCCTTTCACCGTAGCTGTCAATCTGATCAAAAGACGTGTTCAATGGCATTTAAACGAGAAAAAACGCGGCTGAATCGGTTAATCCATAGGTTGATAATGTTTCTGTGTAATAATTCGTTTTAATTTATAATTTATAATTCCATTTTTATGTAAAAATCGGAGAGTAAAAGTTAGCTGCTAATGGTCGTCACCAGAGTTATCGCAGCTTCCGGTTGTGGCTATGTGTCAGTCTCACACACACACATTACCAAATAAGGAGTATGTGGGAGTTCCCCTCGATTCCATTGGCTCTGACGGTTAGAAAGAGATGTCAATCAGCAAAATCGAGCAAGGGGAGCCAGAGATAGGTCAAATCCACCCAAATGACCCCCAGAAGTGTTTTTTTTGCTAAATCTCTCTAAAAAGGTCACATTTAACTTGTTTTGCATCAATCTTGATACAGGGTACTTATTATATGTTGTAGTTTGGATTCCTAAAGCTTTTAGTCTACCATCCCATCATTCAAGGGTGGTTTTCACTATAAGTAATATTTTGTTTTTGGACAGACACAATCATTTACATTTTTTTACTGTGTTCAATCTGAATTTACTTTAAAATAAAAACATCTATATTGATTCTGACACGTCTACATCCAACTCACAGGTGTAACCTTGCTTTGAGAAAAAGGATTATTAATTTAACCCTTTTAGAAGAGAAGATATGGTCATTTGTTCTGGGAATGTCCTTTTCGAGCCTGATACCTGAAAAACAGGCTCTGGGCTTAACAGGTTAAAAACTATTGTATGGGTTGGTATGGAATGTTGTACAGACACTAGTGGTGACCAGAAAATGAACCATGATGACTTGGGTGATGGCCACGTGTTTCTAGCACCAAAGTAAGGTTGACATTTGTGGTTTTGAGTGAAACGTTTTTAGAACTATATGAGGGTTTGTCATGCAATTTCAGACCAAAATATATGTCCCAATAGTCTACACCAGGGATCACCAACTACATTTGTCCAAGGGCCAAAATGTATCCAATAGACACTATCGCGGGCCAGCGATTTTTATATAGCCCAACATTTTGAAGTTGTTGACCGGGGGACACACACACACCCCGCATAAAGCTTAGCAGACTTCTAGGCAGGGTTACTTTGTAAATGTAATCAGTTACTGAATACAGAATACATGCTCTGAAAGTAATCAGAATACAGTTACAGTTATGTGTCTTAAAAAACGTATTCAGATTACTTTTAGAATACTGTCTTTTTCCATAACAGATGGGTATGTTTTGGTGAACAGGAGACACTTGTTTTACTGTTTTAATGGCTTATCAAGAACTCAAACACAACATCTTGGTGTCATTCTGGACAGCTCCCTCTCATCTGCACCACACATAAAAAGCATCACCCGGACTGCATTCTTTGTACTGTCTTAAAACCTTTCCTTGGAATATGTTATGAATTGTAAGGTGTCCTTGGTGCTTTGAAAGGCGCCCCTAAATAGAATGAATTATCATTATTATTTATTATCTGAAACGATGTAATAACTTTTTCCAGTCACTTGCCATGCATTCAGCAGCAGCAGGCCATTCACTTTGATTTGATCCCGTTATAAATGTCATCATTTCGACAATAAATAAATGCTACATAAACGTTATCTTGCACATTTTATCGAACCATCTCCGTTTCTAACTTTCAATATATTTAAAAAGAGATCTCTCTCTCATCTGCGTGCGGGGGCGGAGCCTCACAGACACGCTGCATCTCTCTCTCGCTCACAGACATGCTGCAGCGCTGTGCAGTGTGCACACCAGTGGCGGCGCTAGGGGGTGGCTACTTGGGCTCAAGCCCCGGATGTTTTCTGAAAAGCCCCGGATGTTTCACTTAAAAAAAAAAATTCCAAAAGATTTTTTGTTTGTTGAAAATGTCTCGGGATTAATGTGCAGTACCGGAGTCCACCAGAGAGGCAGCCACTGCGGGACATTAGCCTGCGTACTGCGTAGCCTTCCCTGCCCTGAAGAAGAAGTGATCCTTCCTAGTGCCTGAAGAGTTTTAAGCTAATAGCCTATAAAGTTATGGATATTAGAAAGTTATTTTCATCGAAGCAGGCGCCACAAGCTGCAGCAGCAGCAGTATCAGCAGATGACAACAATGTCATCACCAGCAGTGTCCCGCAGCTCCTGCCTCTCTGTTGGACTCTGTCGCAGCGGGGCTACTGCTGTGGTGCGGAGCGCACAAAACACAACTCTTCACAACGAAGGATCACTTCTTCTTCAAGGCAGGGAAGGTTTCGCAGTACGCAGTCTACTGTCCCGCAGCTGCTGCCTCTCTGTTGGACTCCGATACTGCACACAGTGGTTACTGCTCCGCCAACGCCACAGTCACCCCCGTCGTGCGGGCCGGATGAGAATGTCTGGCGGGCCGGATGTGGCCCGCGGACCGCCAGTTGGTGGTCACTGGTCTACACTGTACTATGTATTTGGTGATAATCACTAACCGTTACCCTCCCAACATAAAATGATGACATGGTAAACACTAATGCTAAATAATGTTTGCATTGTCACTGTGAGCTTCTTCACATTAAACAACCTTCAAACAGATATCACAGGGATTTAAGGCAACTTATGGAAATGGCACAAAATCAATCAATGATCACAATTATCCTTCAAAATTAGCTTGCATAAGAAAATCTCCATCCTTATCCATCTACAACTCTCCATGGATATCTGTGGGATTCCTACTCACGACCAGAGGGAGCTTCTGCCTTGAGTGATGACCCCCGTGAACTTGGTCAGTCTCCGGGCGTCCACCTCGAACCACTGCAGCGGGTCATCTCTCCCGGCGCACCAGGCCCCGTCATATAGGTCATCTTCGTAGATGCCAGCCTGCACTCAGAAACAGCCATGTGGAGCAGAATTTTAGTCCATATGTCCATGTGGAAACACAAACACACAGTCCATGTGCTACATGTGCTACACACACTGACTGGAAATGCTAGCCAACTCTCTGCTTTTTTTGTTACATTTTTATTAAAGGTAACTGTATCAGGGATGAATCATGCATGGGGAAATTAGATCCTCCAAATTTTAACATTCTGTCCATATGAGATAGCTAATCTACAGTAAATACAGTTGTCTTCTAACATGGACTGTACATGTTATAAAACACGTACAGGATCCATCAATCAAACTAGAATGTACAAAACTATATGGACTGAACGAAGGCAGAAACAAAACCAGTGAGTTTACGTTTCAGGATTGAAACATCTGTGAGACAGGGATGACTGTCTGAGCTTCTCTTTTATTCATTTCTCAGCATTCAACTGTTTTAGTGTAATTATGCAACATGAGGACTCATTTGGAATTGAATTATAATACTTTATTATAATCTGACACATTTCTGTATATGTATAGGTTTTGTGAATGATGCTCAACTTCAATCATGTATACATTCTTTACATTTCATTAAAGTTCTTTATTAAAGTTTCGAGTTTCCTTAAAAGATTTCTGGAAGAAGGTAATTATGGTTTGGCAAACATACACACATTCATCTCCCGAATCTTAAAGTGAGTCTAAGCATGTTTAGATTGTAAAAGGTAAGTATAGCTGACTTGCATTCAATTCCTTAGGCAAATATGCATGTCTAGGTTTACTGTTGGATTAGTTGTGGAATCTGTTATAAACACATTTCATGAGCCATTTACTTGAAATAAACCTTTCTACTAAAATGACATGTTTAGAGGTGGTCCAGTGATCCAGTATGAATCCTCTATAAGAAAGTTAAATGAATCACAGAAGCGTTGGTGTCTTGAATCTGAAGTGGAAACAAACCAAGCTCACTGGCCCCAGGAAACATCTGCTTTCTATGTTGTTCCTCCTGATTTACAGATATTTGTTCTGGACACTATCTCTGCCCCTCTCTGATCCCCTGAGAGGAAGATCCCTTACACACACCAACACAGACCAAATAACAAATCCTTTGTATTGTTGGTTTCATGAAACATACTGCCTTTCTTTGGGGATTAAGCTCATGTGTGTGTGTTTCATTAATTGTAAGATTGAGAGTGCAGCCTGCAGAATGATACCGTACACATGCTAAAACCCTCAAAGCACAGCTTTCACTCACAGGAAATACCTCTTCCCCCCCCCCAATGCCCCAAAGGTTTGGGGATGTGCCCCTATTTTGACGGCAACACTTTTCATTTCCCTTTTGAGTCGAATACTAAATTACCTGTGAGCTGAAAAGCCAGTGATGGCAGCTGACATCTTACCATGGAGCTTTAATATTACCGAAGATTAAAAGATGGTATCTCTAGATCATATTTACTTTGTATTGCTGCTTTGTGTGGGGGAAATTATGCTTCCATTGAAACTGCCAAGGAAAAGGTGAGTTTGCCCAGGGTGTAATGCAACGGAAACATTGTTGGCAAGCTTGCCCAAGCTAACAACACTTTACATTCCTGTCCCACCTGAATGTTGAGACGACCTCTGTGTGCACCGAGGCCGTAGCGTTTCGTGGTTGAAGCATGAAGCTGGAAATCATCAATCTTCGATGTCTCCAGTCCCATGGGAGGGCATTCTGGGTAACGAGAAAGACAAATTAGCCTGTGATGGTATGTGTGGGATTGCTACAGAATGGTTGCTCCTGAACTTCTGTTTACTAAATAATGAGAAATGTAGAGTTTTTTAATTATGCTCAAATGTATGAAGCAAACAGATATAACATATAGGTACTCTGTAGACAAAATGCAACAAAGTCAACACATAAACAATGAACAGTTGTATTAATAATATTGTATTGATGAGGGGAAATGCCAAAATTAAAGCAGGATGTGATTGTTATGACTGTTATTAATGCTGATGTTTCTTCATTCTGCCTCCGAACCAAACACAACAGCTCAAGATTGAAACTCTATGCATTTTAATTAATTGTTCTCAAACTTTGCAGCTTATTTGATCCTAGACAGACAGTATCCAAACTTCAAGCTTTGAATAAAACAATCAAACAGAAGTTCAAACATGTTATACTTCTGTCCGTAAACAAGTTATTATCTCAAGACTTTGGAAATCAAACAGTAAAAGGGGAACCTAACCAGCGTGATGGAGGCTTTGAAGTCTAAACTGCTATGAATTTTAAAATGTGCCACTTTTCATGGATGATTAATGACTGTACACTATGAACGCTTCCTTTTTGTAGTTTTGCTATGTACGCCTATCACAGCCATCTAACTGCACCCTGAATGCATGATTACATTGTATAACTAAAGCAATATTATTGAATGGAGAACATGGTAAATTACAAAAGCTACAGTTGCAAACCTGTCAAGCTTGTTTAAAGCCATCGGAAAAAGATATATAATTTGATCAAAGGGAGATATTTCAATAGAAGGTTTCTAAGATTACTGAAACGTCTCTTATACATTTACTCAATGCATGCAGACTGTACTTTGCAAAACTGGTATGCATGCTAGACTCAGAGTTTTCTTTAAACTGACAGACAGCTAAAAACATAATGGTTGTATGATTGCTCGAAAGCGTTTGCACCGCATAATTCCCTTAGAGCACATAAGCAATTTTAAAACTGCTCTTTGTAAAGTTATGAACCGGATAAATACAATTAAAAAAAAGATTAAAGCAGCAGAGGCTTGGATATTACTTTTAGTTCATAGTGCGAGTAAAGATTCAAAATCTTTGGTTCCTACATTTTCGGATATCTGAAAATGATAATGCCCCACTGTCTGATTAACATTATGTTCAAACTCTTTGCTCTATTCTGTTTTTTGAAGTCTCCAAGCCCAAGCTAAAATTACACTGATGCCATCACTAAGACCTCATTAGGGTTATTTGGGTTTCTTTCTCATACTTTGCTCCCACTTTCCATGTTTCCATTTAGACGTCTGTAGATTAAGATACTTTACAGTGCAGGCATCCTCCAAGCCCAAACAAAAGGACATATTCAATACAGGAGTCCCAGAATTAAATTCTTTACTAGCAGTGCAGAAGACCCCAATTAGCTGTCATCGATTTGACTTATCATCTTTTAATTATTCCTTGAGTATGGCAATTATCCAGTAACACCCACTAATGCCACAGAAAAGGTTTGGCAGGCATGAAGACGCCTTCAAAGCCCTCTGCCTTTATTTTAGATAAAAAACAGTCTTAAGAAAAAGAGAGAACTGCAAATCACTTAAGAATGTTTTCATTTGCTGCTGGAGGGAGTTTGCAGTTCATTTGAACAGATGCCTGTCTTTAAGTGAATGCAGAAGCAGAGTTGGTGTTCACTAAATAGAGCTCTTTGTGTGAGATTGGCTCATCCTTTCCACAACAGTAAATGTCGACAAGTAAGAGCCATACAGTCAAATCAAGGTTCATATGTGAAATCCTAGCAGCTCCACGGCTCTTTGGGTCAGATAATTCTGTTTGCAGACTTTCTGGATCGCATTTGACTTTCAGAGCAAGAATTTCCGATTGGGCACTGGTCTGTGTTTGTTCATGCACATGCTGCTGTCATACAGCCAGGACTGCCTTTCCGAGAATTAACACCCAAAAGTCTAACACACACAACGAAGACAAAGACATGTTTGTTTAAAGTACTGTCAATCTGTACTTTGCATTTACAGGATTTCTGCATATGATCTTGGACAAAGTATATATTTTAACCATAGCGGAAGATGGCTTGGATGGTATATGATCCAGCAGCCTGATATGTCTGAGACTCTGAAGACCGTCAATCACATGCACCGGGATTTGTAGAACAGCCAGAAAAAAGATCAGCATCCAAAATCCACACATGCATGAGACAATTTATGTGCATAAAGCAAAAAACACAACTTGAGAGGACATTAAATCCTGCACTAAAAGTGAAGCATTAAGTTGATTAACAAGCCAGTTAGGGCAGTATTCACAGTAGCGCTATATAGCAATAAAGAATATACATTACAGTGTGCCCTGTATAGTATCTATAAAGCACACACACAATCTTCTTGTATCCCTGTTTTCCTATATTTATAATCCTTTTTGCACAAAATAGGAACACCCGGCCCTCAGAGGCAAGGATTACAGGACAACATTTAAAAATGCTGGTGCCTGCCATGTTGCAAAGCCGTACATCTTTTTCAACCATCTGAATGCAATCCTTTGCAATAGGACTCACACATGATCAGAGCAGCTGGTCTTAACAATAATGTGTAATAGAAAAGTAATAGCAGTCAGTCAGGGCTGTGTTCCTATCTAGGCCACTTGCCATGCTACTGCTGAGGCTTTGCATGATATAAAATAATCTTACTTTACATAAGGTGGTAGAGTATTACAAATGTGGGTGTAAACATTACGTTAGCTAAAATTAGCTAAGCATAAGCCGGTCATAACAGCCCAAGTTAAACTATAGTATTAAGTTTCTTCGTACAGCGTGTTGTATTGATGACGAGTTCTGCATTTCAATTGTACTTGTTTTTTCTTTTTAGCTCAAACTCTCTCTGCAGCTTGACTGTGCGCGTGTCAAACTGTGATATCAGAGCGGACACATCTTGTTTCAACACATTTCAAACATCTGCTTAAGCAAACCCTTTGAATCCTCCCCAGTCTTAGATCCTCGTTTAATGATTTCCCTATTGTTTTGGTATGTGTTGATGTGGCAGGCACTGAAGGTCTGCTACATCTCCAACAATGCTCGCATTCTCAAGCATTTGGCAGCTAAACTCATTCTAAAGCTGAGTAATGCAGTTATGGGTGGATGAAAAGAGTATGTTTTTTTACATTTTACATAAGTCAGCTACTAGCAGTAGATGCTGAAACAAACTTGGAAAACAGATTGATGTTGAGTCAGAGTTTCATCCATGAAAACATGATTTCGGGACCCTGAGCCTTCCAGACCTTGACTGTTTGGGCTCCTTCGTGCCAGGCGTGTCGGTAAGAAGCTCCCATTTTCCAACATGCAGGAATATCCAACTTTCTGTTACCATTCTCAAGTGCCAAATTAAAAAGTGGCAACCTCTCTGTCTGTCTCAGTAGGTTCCCTACAAGAGCTTCAACATAAACACATCAATTCACAGTTCACAACATCTCCTAACCTCCCAGAATGATTAAATGTAGCTTACCGTTATGTTATAAATGTCTGACAGTGGGTAAATACATTTTAACAAGGGCAATATCACCACGTTGAAAGTGGAAAGTCTGAGGTCAAAGCACATGTACGCTGCTCTAAATCATACTCTCAGTGAAGCAGGTTTAATCTGTCATCTGACATGAAGGCTACAGGGTTTCAGTTTAGAAAACACATTGTGATCCATGAAAACCAAACACAATGCTTCATAGGCAAAGAAGACATCAGCGCCTCTGTAGCTTAACTCCACTTTAGAGAGCATCAGCTTATATTGCCAGACCTTTCCTCTCAGGGAAAATATGCTCTCTGAAAAAAGAGTGCATGCTCACGGCCCTTTCCAAAATAGTTGTCATCTCAGAGAGAGTTTGTTTCTTTTTTCCCATCCTAACGGCTCCCGTGAAATCTGAGAAATGATCCAAGCGCGTCTGAGGGAGGATTAATTTGTATGAGATCATGAATTTCCCATAACAAGTGTGAGTGTCACCGGTTGTTCACTCACCCGCTTTTATTGAGTTATATTGTCCTTCTCCTTCAGATATGCTGTTTGGGGTTTTCAAGGCACCATTCTTGGTCTTCTCAGCCTTCTTGTTGGCTGTTTTAACTAAGAAAGGAAATAACAATAATGCAGGAACATAAATAAAACTATTTTCCATTTTAAAGAAGCACATTTGACAGGCCAAATCACCTTTAAAAGTGCTGATTCATTGTTGTTCACAAAGAGAGAAGTGTTGGATTCAGTCCCACACATGTGGAGAGATTCAGGATCTGGGGTCTGAACCAAAAGACAATCTCCGGGCGCAGAGTTTGAAAACGTTTAACTGCTGTGCTCCTTTCCTTCAACTACAGTATGTCTCCAACTCACCTTGGCTAAGACAATGCTCATTTATGATTTGTATAGATTGATACCTTGTATAAGATGACTCGCTTAAGGTTCAAATCAGTCATGGAAGCCCCCTGTACAGGAGGCAGGATGGGGGCAGGGTGCATTGAAGTCAGGCCTGTGCTTTTTTATTTGACTGACAGTTAGGTCAGGATGGACGGCACGTAATAACAATCCTTCTCACATCTAAAAGTCTTTACCTCGTCTCATTCTAGGGACAGGTTGAGTCTGCAACAATGCTCCAGGCTATGTAGTTTAGCGTAAGGGATATACTGTAGAGGGAAATATGATTTAGACGTGAAAAACAGATAATAATAATAACACAATAAAAATAACAAGCAGATATCCTCTTCTTCTTAATTCAAACCACTTTAAGCAGTAAAAATCACTCAAATATCAAAAGTGTCAGAGCTTTGAATTATGGTTGAAAACCATTGTTTAAACAAAACAAAACCACTGCAGTGAATTCAATCTCACTTTCGGATTTAATGAATATTGAAAATTAGTTTGAGCTTAACACTGAAATTAAGGTTTTGTAGTGAAGTGAGAAAAAACTCTCAAATTAGACAATGCCACACTGTATTTTGGCCTATAGGACCATTAAACACACACTTTTATGCTTTCATGTCTGTATTTACCTCCATGTGCAGTGTAGAGATAAAACAAACACATCTTATCAAATGGAAGCAGTGGTTATACATATTTGACTCTAATCAAAATCCTTTAGCCCCACCTGCAGCAGGTATCTCTGCTGAGACACGTGAATCCAGATTCCTGGATTATGAGGTCACGGTCGACACAGCTGCTCTGAATTATCTGCCATCAACCAACCGAAAGCCCTCATGCCTTTTACTGTCCTCCAATCAGCTGGCAGGATCTCAAACATACCTACAAACTTGCAGAGAGCTCTGAGTTGCACGTATATGTGGACGATAAGAGCAGAGCTCTGCTGTGTCTCGCTGCTCTTGAAAAACGTGGATTTCACATGTGTTCTGGCCCCTTCACGTAACACAGTCCTGACCTCTGCCGTGGGTGAGGCTGCTAATCCCACACAGAAACATGGCTCTGATCTATGCGTACAGGGAGAAGAAGACTACCAGAGGAGGTCACTGTTATTTATTTTTTTCTCTCTGCACATCCATCACCAGGTGATTTGAATTTAGCTGCTCCTCTGAGGTCTGGGTCGCATTAGTTTTCTTGGAGGAAAAGTATCTTTCGAAATACTAACCTACGACTTCCAACACTGACATTTAATTTGAAAGCATAAGCGGATACAAAAATAAGGTAATATGTTGGTGAAATGTTGTTTAAAGGTTTAGATCAAAATATATCCTTATTACTATATGCATACAATTAGAAATGTAAGTGTGTTTAATTTGATAGTGACAACACCATTTAACATAGTTCCAAAACAGAGCATTAAACTGATGTTTATAGCTATTCAACTCCCTCGTTGGGCGTTTAACTGTACAGTATACTTCAATTATACAGCTTTTAGTGTCAGAAAACCACTGCAATATGGAAATACCAATAATTACACTTCACATAATACCCATGCACCCACACCAATACGCATTTGCTAATTAAAGTACAAATAGTTAACAAAATGGGGTAAGCTCTTTAGCCAGCACATAGCTTTTGTTGTCAAAGATCACATATCTGAAATGAATTTGATTTCCATTACATTCGTTTCAGCTCTTTGGCTCAATCAGGAAAGAGGCTCCAAGGCTAGACAGTCAATACTTTTTGGGACAGCAACATATGAGTTAATCTCTCAAAGTAAAGTATGTGACAGTGATGCCAATGCACAATCCATTATTTTCAGCGCCTGATGATCAGGATGTAAGATTGTAGACAGTACGGGTTCTGTCATGTTTATTTTGTGGGGAAATGTCTTAAATCTTGATGGGAAAAGCTCAAATAATCAGCCATACACTGTCATCTAGTGGCAACACATACTCATCTGGTTATTGAAAAGTTTTAGCAGAACTTTGTAAAGGTGATATTGTGAAGAACTTTTAGAGAAGAAAAATATTGTCTCAAGAGATGGCAATGCTTTTACCTGCTTTTGAATTAGCTGTGGTTTTAGTCTGCCTGCTGCTGTCTGCCTTTCCTTTGGTCCCTTTCTTTGCAGGTTTTGGGCTGGGCGGCTCATACCTATCAGGTATTGAGGCCACAGGCTTCTCCTGGAACTGGTTGATATGCTCTCTTGTCAGCAGCTCCTGCATGTAGTAATCCTCATCCTCATGAGCAGAGCCATGGCTAAGGTCTACCAGCCCTGCGAGGAGTCCCAGCAGAGCCAGGGGGGTGAGGAGGGTGATGCGCTGTCTTGTCATGACCCGGGGGGATTATCTCCAGCTGTGAGTCTTGATGTCGTCTCCGAGGAGCCTGCTGCTGCTGCAGGGCTGCGTCCCATCAACTTCTCCCCTTTCCACTCCAACGCAGAGAGTTCACAAAGTTCTCAAAGCGCTTCAAGTCACTGACGAAAGGAGCGGAGCCAGAGGGTCCATTGACGCCGCAGTCTGGGAAAAATGCAGTGAGGGAGGGAGAAACACAGAGAGCAGGAGATGAGGGAGAGGAGAGGGAAGAGGCAGGGAGACAGACAGTGAAGTTCTCTCCTTTAGATGCTGGCAGGTGACTCAAAAAAGAAAAAAACTATTTCTATTATAGATTAAAACCAGTCCAGGCTGCTGACACATTGCTGAGTTATTTTATTAGTGTGGGCAGGAGTGAAAAAGGGATGGAAATCACTCTGGGGATCATACATTGACACATTTGGGATCTGCTTTCATCTCCATCTCCTCCCACTCTGTCTGGGGCAGGCTTTACGATGAGGTACGTTTCTTCTTTCCTGCGGGGGAATCGACGTAAACTGCTCTTAACCAGTTTTGCAACGTTATTTGTCCAAAGGAGAAGCAGAGGCGAGGTCCATGATCCACACAGAAGTGTGTTTGAAGTCCAAACTGGCAAAGAAATATGAGTTACCAAGAAAACAGTAGCAGTCATCTGCCCTGAAAAGAAAATCACACAGATGTTAAGGTTTAGTACAAAGTGCCCTTTGGGTTTTGAATGTCCTCTAACACTAAATGATATCCCTTTTCTGGGGAGAGTAAATAACTTGTTGCTCTTATTCAAGAGTCCTCATTTGCAGAGGGTTTTCTAGTTTTTGCCAGGGCCTGTTTGGACTCGGTCTGCAGTAATTTACACATTAACAGGCTGCTGAAAATGAGTCGAACAAACTCTCTGTGGAGCGTCCGGGCACGTTCCAACAAAGGGATGGAGTAATGCCCCGCATGTCACACCTCATCACATCAACGTTGTCTTTCCATCATGATGCTCTTTCTCTCCTTTTCTCTCCCACACACACACACACACACACACACACACACACACACACACACACACACACACACACACACACACACACACACACACACACACACACACACACACACACACACACACACACACACACACACACACACACACACACACACAAACATGACTGCAGCAGCTAATTTAGCCTCACAAGAAGACAATAACAAAGCCAGTAGTCTTGATTAAAACCATATTTGTCTGATAGATTTCTAATCTTGAGTAAGAAATAGGTTTGATCATATGGATCCAACTTGTTATATCAAACACTTGGAGTTAATTCTAAGCAGAGACTTTGAAAGCCTAAATTAAGTCTTAAGGAGTAGTGGGATTCAACTGAACATTTGCACAACTAATAAGTGCAGCTTTGGACATGTTGTCAACCTAAGGCAAGGCTAATTAAGGCAAAGATTATAATCCCGTAACACTCTGGTTGCCCCGCCTACCCAATTTAAATGCACTGGCTCGTTACATAATAACTGATAGGGATTGACAGTGCACGCAGAAAGGTTTGAATATGTTGTATGGAAATCAGACTTTACACCTGAGACTGAGAGCTTCTGAATGGCTAAAGGAGGCAGAGGCTGCAGGCACATCACTGAGGATCAGGATCTGTGGAGTGGGTGGACAGCTCGAGGCAGCGCGGCTGGCAGAGTCTTTTGCCAGCGCGGCAGGCATTCGATGTTCGCCCACTCCTCATCTAGACTGAACCCGTCCTAAAGTGTCTGGCTGAAATATCCTTTCCTCCCTGCACATCGTAAAAACAACTGCAACTCATGTGTCAGGTTTCCCCTAATGCATGACCACACTGTAGCCGTGATGCCTCTGGAGGCAGGTCTACATTTCGCGAGCAATTACATTATGGCATGGTTAAGGATGTCTAAACCAGTCTGTCAGTCTGTTCAGTGTTTGCCACCATTTCAAGACGGTAACCTCACTGTGTGTCAGTGGTTTAGTGGGGCAGACCACAAGGGTTGCAGGGGATGCAGCACTCCTAATCATTTCACCTTAGCACCTCTCATAAGGGCCAAGATGCTTTGTTAATAACAATCAACACAAGATCTACTCAAGGGGAATTATTTTTAAGCAAACGTCAGGATTCTGAGAATCTTCATCACTAGGAACAACTCTTTGTAGAAGGAAGCTTCATGAATACAGCCTCAGGGCTTTAAACTCTCATTTTCACATACTGTACATTCTGTTGTCCAATTATGCCTCAGCACTTACAAACTATAGCACATATACAGCCAAGCTTTAATTACCTCGTGTTTGGACTGTTATTCGGTTTATTCTGCCCTTAGCCCTGTCTTTCTTTCCTGCGTTCAATAAGAAATACTGCAGCAACCAGAATCCAACTAGCAAATTTACACTTGTTATTAATACATTTTAGAGGGGACTTCTGGTAGAACCTTTGTTGTTTTAATTGGTTTACAACTTTTATCAAAAAGAGATAAGGAAACAAAAACCACTTAATTCAGTTCTATTTTGGATGGTTTTCTATGGCAACACATGAAGTAGTTTGCCCTTTATGTACCAATTTGTTTTGTAGTATGTATTAGTGTATCTATCTTAAGACATTTTGAGTGAATCATTTCAAAATTCAATTGAAATTGCTTAAAGAAAACCCCTAAATATGGACTTAATTTATCATCCAATGGTTGCATGATCTCTACCACTACACACATGGCGTTTACAGGATATACAGTATGAACTGTAGTTTTAAAATTAATTAGACACAGTCAACATTTATTAAAGCATGAAATGTTTTACTTAAACTGCCGTCTGAAACAGCCAAAATGTCTGAATTAAAACACCTGCTATAGTCTGAAGTAAGCACATCAAACAGCCGCTTATCAGGCTGTGGAGCAGAGCAGCTTGAGGCAGGGATGTTGTGACAATAGCTGTCTTTCTGAGAGAAGAACACCCAAGGTAGTAGAGTGATGGCTCCTGCCGTTCTCCATAATCTCCTATAGGGAGAAAATCCCTGGCTTAATTCTCATTTATAGGACGTCAGCGCCCAGAGTGACAGGTTAGAGGCTCAGTGGCAAATAGCCCTCCTCCCTGCTGCTGCTGCTGCTGCTTTGACACCTTGTAATTGATGGAAAAGGGTGACTGGTTTGAGATGGAGAATCTAAGGGAGTAGAGAATAATGAACAATGGTACTGTAATGTGGAGCAGGACATGTCAAGGCCAAGTGTTCCCTGACAATCAATGTGTACTTGGTGACAATTGGGTCTCAACCTATGGTCTCAACGTGAGAAATACAAAGCTAATGAAGGCTTACAATTTAAGGGATCTACATGCTTGTATAAGGAAATCATCTGATTGTGTGTGTTGAACACATTTTAAACATCCTGTACTCACACAGACACAACTGCATGCATGCAAACCTTTTTTTGCGATCATCCATCAAACACAACCTTGTGTGTCAAACTGGCTCGTGGCCAATATTTCGAATACATTCTGAGAGTGACTTAGGCAAACAAGTACACATCTTGACAGGGACAAACACGCATTGTCTTTTAAAGTTATTTACTTACATGTCCACCATAATGTAATTCAACACATTTATGGATCTGAAAACTGTCATATACCATCCTTGGATATACTACTTTAAATCATGTGCATTTCATGATGGATGAATCTCATCACTTATCATTATTGATATGCAAACAGGCAGTAGGGTTGGGTGATTTGACACAAATATTGACTATAGGCATATTGGTTCATTGCCCATTGTTTATTTTGAACACTCAATTGGGGAAATTGTTGTTGTTTTATTATCTGTTGTTGGTACAGTCAATTCTTGGATTCATGTTCGTGCTATTTCATTTGATATAAAAGGTACAAGAAACAAGTAAATTAAGGCTGGTTGCAGTGTTCTTCACATATGTGCAATGCTATGGATTTTGAAACACATTAGGGAAGAATTTGCTGTATGTACGTCCAAACTTGGTTCAAGTGTATCTTTGGCCATTTCTGAACACAGAGGAAGATAATAGGCTGTTGTTGTTCTCAGAAATACTTCCCCTGTGTCCATGGAAACTGTGTGAAACGGGGCGATGGTCAATCTGCTGGACCAGCACACACACGCAGAGCAGTATGCTTTGAGTGTTGAAGTCTGTGTTAGCTTATGCTCTCCTGGTTGTCTTCTGGAAACTCAAAAAAAAAAAAAAGACCTGCTTTAACGCTCAAGCCAAATACACAAGCCATTTTTTATTGGTCTAATTATCAAAAGTGTAAACTTTCAGGTAGTGATATTGCTTTCATGGTGTGTAATACTCCAAAAATGTCAGATGTTGTGAATCAGTTCATTTGATCAGGTTACGTTAACAGTTCTATGTATAGACATTGTACAGTATACCTGATCCTGATTAGTATAGCACAGTGAGGTTTTGTAATGACTGCACCAGAATCAAAGCAAATCAAACTTGATATTTTGTAAAAATACAGTTATGGAACCATTTCTACTAAAGAGACATAGAGAATAATGTGTACTGCAAGTGAATGAGTGTATGATATTAACAGAGAAGATGTTGAATTACGTGAAGTGGAACTTATGATTGCATTGATATTCAGACAGCCCACCAGCATGTGACTACATTTACACACTATGGCTCTGGCAAATAGCATGAGCACAGATGAATATGGAAGCCAGTTACCCTTACAGGACTGGATCATTAGTTATTCTCCAAAAATCTATATATTAAAGCAGAGATAATTTTGGGTTTGCATTCTCCCGATGGTCAGAAGCACAACTCCAAATGTATGTTAATTTTCAATAGCTGTTGGAAGAGTATATAAGCTACATGTTGCTAACAAGTTTGCCATGCATGTGAATTTAAAGGTGATAAAACAGTATGTCAGTGTTGTGTTTACAGATTGTTTCCGCTGCCCCTTATGGGCCAAGTAAAGAACTGACGTGAAGCCACATTCCTGTGAAGTAGCTCTACTTGATTTCAGA